ATAGGTATCAGTTGGTTATGTAAACATGCAAAGTCAAAAAATGTTTTATAAAATGGATCGCTATCAACCTTTGTTCGCCAGTAAAAAAAAATATTATTTACTAAATCTATTAAGATGTTTGCAAAACTTTTGACAAAATGCCATTTTATAAATGATTGCAACATATAAAATTTACGTATCAGGTGCAATAACAGTATTTTCCTACCTTTTATTTCTCCACAGTATACCTTTTTAACAAAGTTAAAACATCGGTAGAATATTCATTTTTCGAATCTTTCGTAATATTATTTGTTATATAACATATCATTAGAGTTTAATCTTAATTTAACCATCTTTGCGGTTTCGTTGAGAAAAAAAGTCACCTACCGAAGTAATCAAGAAATTATAAATAAGTAAACAAAGTTTATTTCATGTCAGGCGCAGAAATTTTTAAATAGACTTATCATCGAACAAAATCGACTCTGTCCTTTCTATGCCAAGGCGATTTAGATTCCGATTAAATTGTTTATGGAGCGTTTGATTCGTGAAAGGAGTCAAAACAAATAGGGGATTACCCATATATTTATAATAAAGATACATTATTAAACACTATAATGATTAATTTCATCATATTACAAGCTTATTTACATATATTGAACTAAATATGACTAATATTAGAATATGAATAGGTATTTGTACTAACATTTTATGACAATTATGGTTGTTAGTAAAACATAAGTGACCATAAATATAATACTTCAGTTCACCTTGTTAAAATTAAAATAAGAGATCACTCATTGTGTCTATGTGGCTTGTATGTGGGTTAAATTTTTCATATCTTATTTTCTTGTCCAAAAACAACCCGATCTCTTACATAATGTTCTTCTTAATAATATTCCACGCTCAATAAACGTTGAGAATTTTTTAAGTTTGGTTAATAGTCCTTGTTTGATTGTAAACACGATGTACATTTGTTAAAGTCATTAAGTTAGTACGAAATAAAGAATCGATTAGTGGAGACGTGTTGTTAATACTTGAATATGTACAAGCAAAAGTGAACCTTAATTACAACAACAGTTTGTGTGTAAATGTATTAAATTTAAAAACTTAAAACGTCAGTAGTTCCCTTAACAATTTAATATATACTAAGATGTTTGGATTGTTATAAATATATTTTTTGTTATTTTAGTACTGGTAGAAAATAACTACATTTCTTCAAATAAAAAGTACAGAAAACCTTTTTCCATTCGACACGATCCTGAGTATTTTCTTCACCACGAAATTAAGATTACAATTCGTCAGACATATAAAAACATCGACATTTGCAAAATATTCCATTATTACAGTGCGAATTAAGCCATGGCTTAGAATAAAAAAGAATTATAACATTTTCACATTTCTGAACATTTGTTGTTAGTTGCATTTAGTTATAATAACAAGATATGGTTTTCAATATTTATATATTTTAATAAATGACCTAAATTCTGCGAAACATTTTACAATCAGTGTGATCTTAAAGGCTTATTTCTTACAATAGAATCTACTTATTTGATTAAGACGGTGTTTTGTGATAGATACGTATAATACAGGGTGACTGGTGAATTACTATCAATATTTAAGGAGAATACTCGGTACATAATTCTCATTCGAATTATGTAAAAAAAATAGGCACTTAATTTTTGACAAAATTTCCGTATAAATAAATAAAGTGTTGACACGTTCCAAGTGTTCCAAGTGTGGACGCGTGCGGCGGCGTGCTGATACAACACTACGCCGTCGCACTCGTATGTGTGAGTGTGGATGTATACCTAATCTGTAGGGTGTTCACACGATGCGTAATTAATTACATAACTTTTGGTTAACTTTACTTAGAAGTTTATTAATATTTATGTTATATTAATTTTTATTTTGTCATATATGATCGTCAAATATCACGTCCTCAAGTATCGATAGTAATTCACCAGTCACCCTGTATATTTAGTAGGTGTAGCTTTCCTAACTGTGAATTAAATAATTGCTCGGATTAAATTTTATAACAAAAACGATTAAAGCTATTTGTTGTCCATTTAATAACAGTAATGGGTTATTTTATATGAAGTTAGAGAACTATTTAACCTGCAACTTACAATGAGCTGTTACAACTTTGACGGCAAATTCTGTGTATGGCATCGTTATATTAAAAGTGAAAGACCGATTTTGATGCCGTTTTTTAAACCAACTTCTTTACAGTGGGACGTAGCCGCTTTTAGTTAAAATTATTCCAATAGTATCGTTATACTGATGTACTGTTATTATAGCTTTATCCCAAATTGATGTTATGTATTTTTAGTCTACATTCTATAAGCACATATTGCGAAATTAGTGTAATATTTAAATGACGAGGAAAGTATGAGAGTGTTTTTTATTTAATAAATTTTTCAGCTATTACTTCCTAAGTACTGAGGAAAATATACTTTTCGTTGTGGGAACAACCGTGTTTAAATGTGATCGACATGGACATTATACGATTCTAGATTAAAGGGGAGTCCCTTATAGGTTCGGGTATTTCTTAGTCTTAATATTATTGCGATATAAACGAAGGCTAATTATCCTAAATCATAGCTTAAAAGTGTGTGTTTTTCCTCATTTCATTTAATATTAATTACAAATCGAATTCTTTAAGCCTTCCAACGAAAATCTCTCATGATAAACATACACGAAACCCTATTTATATGTATACTTTTCATTTAATTATTTGGACTATTTAAATAGTTGTATTCACTATCCCTACTTTTATTATAAATGCGAAAGTAACTCTGTCTGTCTGTTATGCTATCTCGCCTAAATCACTGAATTGATTTTAATGACATTTGGTACAGAGATAGAGTTGATCTTGAGAAAGAACATAGCATAGTTTTTATCCCAGACTTTTGAAAGGTTCTCTTGGAAACGCGGTATAACCGAACTCCACGCGGGCGAAGCTGCTTGCGGAAAGCTAGGAGGGGGGTTCTACGGGAAAGTAAACCTTGATGTAATTTTTTAAAGTTTTTCTTTTTTAAAATTATTATATATATCGAAACAAAAACCTTAAAATTGCACTTTACTTCAAAAAATATTAGCATATTAATATTTTTTATTAATTTGCAAAACTTGATTTATGAATTTAATGCTGATTTGGATCTGAAAAGATTCAAAGCTCTGAAGCTGAGTGTTTAAAATGTATACCTTGATGCATACCCAAGCTACTGAACTGAATCCCATGATGAAACTAGCATTCATATCAAGAAATAAAAACTTATAAGTGACTCCTTATACCAAGTAAATCCTATGTGTCTCACCTGTGACAATGAAAGTCCCACTCGTGACACACTTTATTTTTTATTTTTTTAAATATGTTTAAATAATAGAACATTATTTTCTATTCAAATGTGAAGTTTAGTTTATTGTCTCAAAGAAATATTGTAGTCTACATTATAAAGTTTTATCCACTAGCAGAGTTTTACTAAATATGATGCATGTGTAACAAGAATGCCACAACTTTGTCCCACCCGTGACAAACATTTATTGTCTTCTTTATTAAATTTTACATGGTGTTATTCCCGTCTTTATTGTATCTATAAAAGTACATGGATAAATTTATTATATTCTATATAAACCAATTAGATATCATTGACACACTCTGAAAATCGATGTACAAGTGTCCCACCCGTGACGAAAGAATCCCTCAGTAATATATAAAGGTACGGATTGTATTTAAAATTATCATTATCAGTAATATATAATCTTAATAAACTACATTAAATCAAAGTTAAAATATGGTAATAAATAACACCTAGTTATATAATTACCTTTCTTCCATTCGTTTCGCTCGCTGCAAATTGAATGAACCTCAGCATTTCTGTATCTTTAAGTTTTTGGACATAGGTTTCATTTTCCGGCTCTAAAATTGAAATTAGTGCTCAAATCTATTTGATTTTATATAATCCACTCCAAATAAACGGGCAATTGAACGAAAAACCTCGCCTTGATCAGACATTCGGTTGTCGAAATCATCTCAGTTGATTTTCATGATTGATTGATTGATTTTCGCAGATTGAGACAATATTATGTAATAACAATTTGAGCTACAAGTCAATCTTTCCAATAAAGTCTACGCTATAAGCGTTACATAGGGATCCTACTGCATAGGAAATGAGAGTAGTTAGCTTATTGTATTTATATTACCTTATATATGTAGCTAATTTACATATATTATTCCTCTTTCGCTTCAGACACTAATCTTCCCATCAAAATCCTCTTCTCAATAACTAAAAAAAGTCAATCAAATATTTCTATAGAGAAAACTTTAATGAGACATACAGAAGTTTTTTATTACTTTGTGAACCTAGCTGTTGTTATTTATTCTAACTAGTTTTACAAGTAATAGTAGTTTTATGACTTCAGCCTAGAACGTTACTATAATAGTAATCCAAAAAGTATTTGTAAGTAATAAAATTAACACATGTATTTCTTTATTCCTTCTGAAATTATGTTTGTAATGAGATTGGACACAAAATAGTTTTTTATTATTTAAATCTAAAAAGATTTTTAGATGACTAAATTAAAGAAGGTCATATTAAAAAAAAGAAAAATGCACAATATATTTATGAAATGTTATAATTTCTTTTCAAATTAAAACATCCATTGTGCTTAATATTTCATTTAATACCTTTTTTAATATAACTCACAACTGTCTATGACATTCCATAAACAAAGTAAGTAGCTAAAACTATGCAATGTATACAAATGATTACCAAAGATTTGTTATTTCTTAAATTAATTTATACATAGCAAATATGACAAGAATTTGGTACCTATTTATAACTTCTTTAATTGATAAAGAAGTTTTGATGTAACTTTTGATACAGCTAGATTCGGATATAGAAAATAAAGACAATAAAAATATGTAAAAAAGCACTTTTAATTTATAGAAGTGACATTCACATTTGATCATTCAGTATATTTATATTTAATTCAATTGTTCTGTCTATATGTATCAAACACTATAATATGATTTCATGTTTAAAGCTCCTTGTTAGATGTTTGTGTGGTAGTACTATTGAATTAAGAAGAATCATCTCAGCCGGCACCACTACACCTGCTCCTGTTGGAGAAAATTATATAATATATACATGTACATGAAAAGAGAATTAAAATCGTCTCTCGGTCTCTGAGACCATTACTAAGAAAACATCGGTCTATTAAACCAACTTTAAAAATATAAAAATATAGTTTTATTCAATCATATCATATATACAGGTTGACTGGTGAATTACTATCGATACTTGAGGACGTGATATTTGACGATCATATATGACAAAATAAAAATTAATATAACATAAATATTAATAAACTTCTAAGTAAAGTTAACCAAAAGTTATGTAATTAACACCTTACAGATAAGGTATACACACACACACACACTCGTTCGCGGCGGCTTGGTGTTGTATCAGCACGCCGCCGCACGCGTCCACACTAGGAACACTTGGAACGTGTCCACGCTTTATTTATTTATACGGAAATTTGGTCAAAAATTAAGTACCTATTTTTTTTACATAATTCGAATGAGAATCATGTACCGAGTATTCTCCTTAAATATTGATAGTAATTCACCAGTCACCCTGTATAATACTCACCAAGTATAGTTATAGATGGGTTTAGTCTCCCATCACTATTAAATAACGGTGTATTATCCATTTTGGCAAACGGTTTGTTAGGGTCAGGGTCTGATGGAGTTCCTTCAACTCTTGACCATTCACCCACTGACGCCTCTTGACCGACTGAAAAATAAATGGTTCTATCATAAAAGTAATACAATTTCATATTAACAATAGGTAATAATACTTAATACATATATTACATCACTAGAGAATACAGATTATCTTTATAATTTTTTTTTAGACTTAATACACTATCATGTTTGATATAAAAGAATTTGAATTAACGAAATATTAGCATAAGGTCCATATTTGATCAACAAATCTTTATAGCTAGTTAGATCTTGTGACGTTTATTATTTGACATTACTAAAAGATCATATATTGAAAACTATGACGTCATTAGTTTTATATAGTCAAGTGACTTTTTTTTTCGTTTTTGTTATCAATAAACTTTAATTTGCATTGTGGTGACAATTTATAATAATAATAATAATCATAATTTATTTTTATCTCAGACATAGTCCATATTTAAATATTAGTAATACATGTCAACCTTATAACTAATGTTAGTAAAAGCAAATGATAATAATAATAATAATAATAATAAAAACAAACAAAACAAAACAGAGACAAACACAAAAGACAAAAATCGCTATTTTTAGGCAGCGTGTAGCCGTACCCAGTGGCGCAGTATTTCAGAGTCCCAGCGGCCAGCCAGTGCACACAGAATGCTGTTCGAACTGGATCGCAACCTCTGAAGCGCAGATGCACTCCTCTTGCGAATAATAGCATAAAAGCTATCAACACGCCTCTCAGCAAACATTTCGGAGGCGCTACAGTAGCGCGGCAATCCGAACAGCACTCTGAATGCATTGTTGTACTGAACTCGTTTTAATTTATATAAGAAATTAGTGCAGTAACAACAGTTAAATAAGCTTATAATTAGCTTAAAATTTTGTTTAAATATTGATTTCTATATATTAATCAAAATTTCAGTCTTTGAACTATGGTTAAGGATTTTTTTGTCATACCAAATTGGGTTTGAAGCATTGAACACCCAACAACTCATTTAATTATTTGATTAAGAATAAGATTTTTTTTGCCTTCTTTTTATGTAATTAAATAAATTAGATTACACAATACTTTAAACATAATCAATTATTATAAAGTAGTTGTCTCAAAGTTATAATAGATGGCGCTGTATTTAAATAATATCTTATTTATACTCTATCTTTAATTGTCTCTCAAAGGCAATGTCTCTTTAAGAGCAAAGATATTTATGCCATTTGTACGATTGATTAATACAGTAGAATAAGGTGTTTTATTATATACGCGATAATTTATTTATTTTTAGATACATCTTATATAAAATACACCATCTTTTACTATGTTGAGTTAACTACATACTTTACTGTTCTTTATTAAACATGCATCATGTACATATTATACAAATTGTTATAGATATATATGTATATATATATATTAGTATAAAAGTAAACAAATTGTAGAACACTCACCAACAGTATACATTACAAGCGCGTGTTCGTGTACAGTCGCGTTGTTAAGAACAATGGACTCTTTTATTCGTACTCCCGCCTCTATTTTGACACCCGCACCAATAGACACGTTTGGTCCTATCTGTGAAATTAATAACGAAATAATCTTATATTATCTGTGTATTTTTATCATATTAATAATAGTTTTGATTATTTGTCTCATTTAATTTTTCAGAGTTTTTGGGTCAAAAAATTTTATCTTCTCATCATTGTAGCAACATATACATATTACTAATTCCGAAATTAACGCGTACAAAGTCACGGTCCAAAACTAGTATTGTATAAAAGGTTATATACTCACAACAGCACTGCTATGTACTGTAGCTGTGGGATGTATGTATACATCTGGTAGTATGTGACAAGCGGTTGTAGGTGTTGATGGATGGAGTTCAAGGTAATGTCTGTTAGCGTAGATCGCTGAACCAGCCGTCTTGACCTGCGACCACCAGTTGGTCACCTGGAAAATAATTTATTTCATACATTATGACCAGTTTAACGGTTCTTTATATATGGTAAATACGAAATAGAAAAAAGCAATTGGATAGTACGTTGTATTGGCGGCCTTTTTCAATCTTATTACTAATATGATTTTTTTTATTTAATCATTTCTAACATCGCTTTCATTAATATAATTTTGTGACTTTTTTAAGCAGCCCTAGTAGGTTCTTTTCAAACTTCGTTAGGTATATAGAGGAGCTTGGACAGTGGAGGTGAGCGTTTCACACGCGTTAGTTAAGGGGTCCCTTAAACCTACACTTGGGTCGCAACTCCCAGTCACTGTTGAAGCTCCTCTCACTACAACGATGGACCCGACACACGCACGAATACATTGAATGCTGAAAGGCTACGTCTCTGTGTTTATTTTTATATGTTTTTGTAATACATCTTTTTGATCAAATAATATGCTCTATCTATATCCACACTAAAATCATCTAGTATTGACAGATATATTTACATACTTTATTTTCACTTCAAAATATGGAAAGAATACATGTCCAAACAGAAAATATATTGCTATTTGCTATAAAATAAGTATTTTTAAGTTCAAGGGTCAAATTAGTTTTTGATTTTTTAAGAACTCAAATTATATCACCAAAGCTAATGAAGATTTTAATTTTTTATGAAAAATATCATTTAGGACAGTCTCATGTCTATTTTATTTCATTTATACATATATATATTAAATACCTGTAGAGCGTACACTTTATTAGTTCCTGCTAACGGCGCTAACACATCTTGTTCCCACGACATATAACCTGGGTGTGCACCGTTTTGACCATTACCACTGGAATTTAATTTTATTAGTATAAAAAATGTGTTGTGTTTATTAAGTTTGTAAGAAAATCTGATTGAGGTAAATACATTTTTAGTATTATGGAATTGTCAACTAAGTAAGGCAACCTGTCTATTGATCATAGAGATCTAAGAATATAATTCTATAAAATAGAGAACTTTTTTGCTGTCAACTTTATTGGAATTTACATTTAATTTTAATGTTTAAAGCTGTCCAAACTTAAGGTGCTAATCAATTTTGATCCAATTGTTAATAACAAATCCTTTTAATTTTGCCCTCAATTATTTCTTACCTATAAAATCCCTCCTGTTTCTTTTGAAATGCTTCGGCCATGGTGTGGAAAATTTGCAACGAACACACATACACACCACAATTGATCAATGTAGATATATAACTATTTGGTTTTTCTACATAATGTGTGACTGAATTACTGGTTGGCTCTCGAACCATACAACCATAGTGAACAGATTGTTGTCGAGTAGCTTCAGTGCCCATAATTGTTATCTAAAAAATATTACAATTGTATATAAGCTAGTCCCAACTCCCATATATCTTTTAATGAAGAAGAAGACATTCTCTACGATATAAAACATAAGATAAAATTGAGGATATGGTTTTGTTTCTATAATGATTTTGACAAAATTTAAAATACATGCAGATTGGTAGAATAGCTAATAAATGAATATAAAAGGCGTTTTAATCTTATTGTATGTTGAATTAACTCAAAACAAATGTAGATATCTTTATAATTTGTTCTATCAGTGTGATATTAATTATAAATGTGTATATATTGTTATAAGTCAATTCATACCAATGCTTGTGGTGTTTTTTCATAGAAGGTCCACAGTTCTTTGAGAGGGAAGTCGGCACACACATCACCATTCAATAGAAAGAATGCCGTCGGATTGCCGGCACGGATTTGATCTCTGAAGTGGTACAAACCACCACCAGTGCCAAGTGGAGTGAATTCTTGAAGATATCTACAAGATTATATCTAGTTATATCTATATCTACAACTACAAACATATCTACTCAGTAACATAGATATATGTTCTTGTTTGAAAAACGCATCTTAATTGAAATAGGTATAGTGTATACCAAAAAATTTTAATTATTATTATGTTTATGTGTCTATACATTTTAATATAATTTTAAATTATTGAATGTTTTAAAATGATAATTAACTTTTTATTGAAATAGTTCAAGTGTTCTTACTTAAAATATAATTATCTCAATGAAAGGAAACTCTAAAATGTAATAAAAGAGGTATCTTAAATCAAATATTAAGGAAATACTCATTGGAAATAGATGTAGTAAATTTGCTTTGTTGTTTGTTTGTTTGTATAAAAAATGTTTTATCTTTCTCTTCTAATTGGCAATTTCCCAGCTTTAGCCAGGGTCTGCCTTACATGTTGTGAATAGTTTTTGGCTAATTGTGTTTACGACCGGCCGCCTGCCTGACATCAACCCTCTTTGGAAATCAGCATCAATCAGTGATGTCTAAATACTCTTGCTCCATGTTTTATATAATTCATGAACTCAACACTATCAAAATATCACTGTATAATATAAATTATTTACCTTATAATAATTTTGTATTCTTTCTGCATGTCACTCACAAATTGAGCCATAGTAGTTGTGGTATATGATCCTATTATGAGAATTTCTTTGCATTCTTCAAGCTTTACACAGGCGGCAATATGATGCTGAATCAATGGAAGACCGGCTATAGGGAATAAAGGTTTTGGAGTGTCTAAAGATAGAGGACGAAATCTTGTACCTGAAAAGTATAATTGAGAGTTAGACAAAAATCATATGGTTTATTCTTTGTTTGTAATTTCAATTGATATGCATATATCTTCATTTACATTAATTGTATAATATGATATATATATGATGCTGGATAAACATTTAGTTACTATAAGTATATAGGTAATGTTTAAATTTCAGTAATCTCTAAATATAAAACGTATTTAAAACTTAACACGTAATTATTTGCATTTTCTTTTAAATATTATTCTAATGACTAATAATAGTATCTACAGTGAGATCTATAGATTATTTTATAGTTAATAAACAATACTATTTGTAGATAACAAATACCGGGGAGGACGTCGGTGCAATAAATTCAATACGAATTACCTTTTTGTGGTCCACCTATAAGAATCACAGCCTTCAACATTTTGAATATTTACTTATTACTTTCAGGCTAATTACTATAATAAAATCTGTTTCTTATATATTAATATACACTGTAAATAGACTGCTGTTAAATCCTAAAGTTTATCAACTACTGGCTGATAACAGTCAAACATGTTATGTGGCATTTGTTTTGGCATTAGTCAATTGTCAGTTTCTTGCAAAGTTCCGATGCATTTCTGGAGATAGTTATGAATTTTTCTTTCGGTGATTCTTTTCACTATTCTCAATTCTAAAAATTATTATATAAAAATTATTATTGATGATAAAATAAATTTAGATATCAATTCCATATTTAAAATTATGTTTACCATAATGAGAAAAATAAAATTAACGAATCTTTTGAAAAAATGTAATGTATTTGTTTGTGAAATTTATGTGTTTTAAAAGAATTAAATAGCAACTGCTTTTAATCTACATAAGATGTAGAAGGATATTATTCGATGGCGATGTTATCGCATTGATGACACCAATTTACGTAGGATCCTAAAAATTTTACCTTAAGTAATTTACTCCAAAATAAAAAAGGTCATGGAAGAAGTACCGCTTTTACATAACCAGTTTTTTGATTTTGTTAATGAGTTTTATATATAAATAGTTTAGCATTAAATATAATAAGACATAAAGATGAAAAAAGAAGACAATATGAGAATCAGAAAAAAAACATATTTTTTAAATGTGCTTCATTTGTTCAACGTTTATAATCTGGGATAAAAACATTGTCTGAAAAATTAAAAAGACAATAATCAAGAAAGGATGTGATGTCCTGAATTGAAATAGATGACAAAATAAAGCCATAGCTCTTATATCGTTTTTCCGTCATTTGCACTCTATAAAACTACAAGAAAATATATATATATATATATATAGAAACTTCATATATATACATACATAGTAGTTGTTACTTACTGACACTAAATTTCTGGTAGCAAGCTGCTATTAAAATTCAGTATGATTTTACATATAGGAATTCATTTAGTTTAAGGATAAGGGAATAGATGAATAGATAATGCTTTATTAATACTTCATACAAGTTTCAGATGTGAGATGGGAATTATTTTGGATTAAATGTACCTATCCTGATTTACATGGGTTGAATATTGTATAAGTTAAATTACATAATATATGTTATATATAAAACTGAAGCAAAATCCCTCGTGTGCTATACGCTTCCAGAGAATTATCTGACTATTTTACACTCTATAATTAAAAAGAAAGGTGTTTATATACTACAGAAAAAATATTTTTTACATAAGATATAAATTTGTCATTAATTAAATGGAAGTGCATTTCAAGTTGACGACAAAGTTATATGAGATTTAGAAAACTTCAAAAAACTTTTACGTCTAATTCTTATCACTTGACAGTTAAAGATTTGTTTTTGACAGGATTAATAATTAATTCAATTTCATGCTTGAGATTATACTGAAATACTTTTTGATATGTTTTTTACTAATATTTTGAATATATTAATAAGATTTCGTGTAAGTCCAAACATCGTAACGGATTAATCACTTTTATTCATTATTTGTGGTTGTGAATTCATTAACTTTACAAAAATTTTGTTAATATATTTTATTATGCTATCTGTAACCAAGTTATAGATAATAAGAAAATGCAGCTACATTAAAGTTCATAGTTATTTGTTTGAAAAGTTTACAATTCTTTTTATTATAAACAAAAACACATATTATTCAAACATGATGCACAATCTAGTTTTTTTATAAATACTTATAACAATAGCTAGATTATTGTGTGTGCTGATACGTGTTACATTAATATTGAAAAAAATATTTAGACCTAGTTGTAACGGAACGTGGATTAGAAATTAATTGATGGACGAGGGAAACCATTTCAAATGTTACCTATCTCAAAAAGCTTTTACTAGACTTTTGTGTTTATTCAAACTTATACATATACAAATAAATTTGTACAGGCTAGTTTTAATGCAAATAGAGGATTTATATTATTTGAATATGACGTTTATTTATATACAGGCATTCTTTATCTACCTGGCAATTTCCCAGTTTTAGCCAGGGTTGTGAATAGTTTTGGCTAATTGTTTTTACGACCGTCCGCCTGCCTGACATCAACTCTCTTTGGGAATGCATTAATCAGTGATTTCTAAATAGTCTTAGAAAGTACATATGACTTGAAAAAATCACATTGGTACGTGCCCGGGCCAGGATCGAACCCGCGCCCTCATACATAAGAGGCGGGCCTTTTAACCACTAGGCCACCACTGACCAACTGACACGCATACCTATATTGTGTAAATAAATTTTAAAATAGTTTCCCTTTCCCTTTTCTTAGCTTTTTCTACCCATACCCTTTTCCTTTACCCTCGTCCCTAATCAAGAGTGGCAACACATCTGCAAAAACTATGTTGCGGATGGCCATGGACGACGGTACTACCTTCATCAGGTAGGCCGTCTGCTCGGTTGCCCCCTTTGGCATAAAATAATAAGTTTTCAGCGTGCCCGTTTCTTTTATTTCAGCTTAAATAATTGGTACTCCTTCATCTTCTTCTTCTTCCTGGCAATTTCCCAGCTTTAGCCAGGGTCTGCCTAAAAAATAACTCTTCCGCAGAACATCTTATAAATAGTTTCGGCTGTGTTTTTTAGAACCGGCCGTCTGAAATCAACCCACTTTGGGAATGTTCTTATTGAGCTATTTCAGTTTGAGCATTAATCACCACGCTTTCTCAAGACGGGTTGGTGATTTCAAACTTATAATTGTGAAATTATAAGTCCAGGTTTCATCACCATGTTTTCCTTCACCGTCTTTCAGTCGTATCTAAATACTCGTAGAAAGTACATATGACTCGGAAAAATCACATTGGTACTTGCCAGGATCAAACCCGCGCCCTCGGTAACGAGAGGCAGGCCTAACCACAATGCCACCACTGACTTATAATTGGTACTCCTTCATATTTCAGTTTAACTAGTAGAATTTAATTGTGAAATAACAACCAAAGCATATCACTTAACAATTTCTATATTCAATACATAAAATATAGTTACAGTCCAAAACTTACGAAGAAAACCATTGAATATTTTGCTATCTACAAAAGTTGAACCAGAATAAATTCCTAAATAAATTATATATAATACATATATTATATGTACATTTTTTAATATATACTACTAATAAATATTTTAATTGAATATAAGATGACAATTGGGTTATGAAGAGTTGAAACAACGAAGCAATAATTGCGCTCTATTGTGATGTATGGAGCACGATATTCATAGTCATTAACAGCTTTTCACCTGAGACACACAGGGCTGTAAATGTAAACATAATATTAAAATGTATATTTAGTTTACAAATCTACAAAATTTTACATTTAATATACATATATGAAGAAACAGAATTAGCATCTTGAAATATGTGTATAAAAAAACGGGATTTAAAAATGGTTTTAACTTTTATTTTTAATTTAAAAGCGTTTGTTGTACCTATATTAACGATAATATGGTCTTAACTTTATGTAATAATAACATTATAAGATTTCAAGTTATCAAAAACAGTCAAATAATAAGATCTAAGACATTCGCGGGGATTCATCTTAAGTATCTAGCTTTCAAATAATAAAATACGCGTAGTAATCCGAATAATGTTAGTTTCATTTAAAAACAGTCCAATAATTTCTATTATACTAGCTAGCAGACGTAAATCCCTACTAATATTATAAATGCCAAAGAAACTCTGTCTGTCTGTCTGTTACTCTTTCACGCCTAAACCACTGAACTGATTTTAATGAAATTTGGTACAGAGATAGAGTTGACTTTGAGAAAGAACATAGAATAGTTTTATCCCAGATTTTTTAAAGGTTCTCTTAGAAACGCGATATAACCGAACTCCAGGTGGGCGAAGCCGCGGGCGGAAAGCTAATCCTTAATAAAGTTATTACCTACTGTTTAAAATATTAATAAATTATAATCCAAGAGGCAGCCCTACATGAATACGTCGTATGCAATTTCACACATTGTCATGAGTTAACATTGTTCGCTATTTCAAAATAGGAAACTAATAATAAGAAAAGTTATGAACCGTGTTTGAAGCTTTGATTTATAAGGAAATATATTAATTACATTATCCCATTTAATTGCATTATTTTATTAATCGCAATTGTATAACAATTAAAACAAATTACAAAATATATTTGAATAACATGTATAGTAAAACCTTTCAACACCCTATAGATCAATGACTTGAAACGTGGGATTTGGCTTTTAAATATATTATTTACTAAATATATTAGAAGCGTAGACTACAGTAAATAGTAAGCATTTTGATCCAAAACTATTACTAGATCAAATAGAAAAACATTACCTCCATCGGTACAGGGAATATTATATTATGCGATCACGATATTTAATAATTATTTCAATACAACATTATTTTAGCATCAAAGTAGACTGTTACGTAAAAATTATAATTAAGCTACTAACTATGAAATATATTTCATAACTTTGTTGTATTTCTACTATATAAATTGGAAAAATACAAATGGTCAAACAACAAAAGAACTGGTTACTAAGAATTGACCATGCAAAGAGGAGGAAACATGGAAATAGTTGTGGTTGACTAAAATAATTTTTAGTCAACCACAATAAAACTAAATGTCTAAATTAAGAAGACTTAAGGTAGAGACTAACTATGGTCAGTTACTACGGCTCGAACGTGGCCTGGGTTGACCGGAAAAGTGTCACTCTCTTACAGAAGATCGACGTGAAGTATTCTTATATGGCTGCGTTTCGTCCGATGGGAAAGAGAGTCGGTTTCCATTTCCCTTTTCTCACCCTTTCCCTTTTCTTAGCTTTTCCTTTTCCTTTACCACAACCAAGGTCGGTAAAATATCCGCAATATTCCGTATGGTGCAGATGTCCATGGGCGACGGTGACTACCTTCCATCCAATAGGGTCTCTACTCTTTTGTCACATTTGCTATAAAAAAAATATATAAAAATATAATCTG